GACAAGGTGTGATGGTTGCTGGAAAGCCACAGGTGGAGTGGTCGCGACAAACAGAGATCAAAGAGCAAAGAATGACCCGTGCAGCACATAGACGCAAGGAAAAGGAACAACAGAAGAAAGAAGTTAAAGAATCTCTTCAAGAAATTGCTTCGTTGCCGGTGGGAGGAGCAAGACCCAAGAGTTCTGCAGCACATTCTTCTATGGCAGATCTTCAAGCAGTCTTCTCCAGGCTCTTGGTTAAGGGAGATGGTAAAGCTCCTGACCTGGAATGCTAATGGCCTTAATTCCCCCCAAAAGAGAAAGAAAATCTTTCATTACTTAAAGCAACATAATAATGATATTATTTGTTTGCAGGAAACACATATTTTATCTAAAGACCAAAAACATTTAGCCAATGCTCGTTTGGGATCTCATTTTGTATCTTCTGCTCCTGGGAAAAAAGGGGGAGTAGTCATTTATGTTAAGCAAAACTTATCAGCCTGTTTGGTAGAATCTGATCTTCAAGGGAGATATGTTATGATTGAGGTTGGTTTATATGGGAAGAAAATACTTATAGTGGGGTTGTATGCACCAAACCAACAACAGGAACAATTTTACAGATTGTTACATCAGAAATTAACTTTGTTGGATTATAGATCCGTGATATTAATGGGTGATTGGAATGGTGTGTTAGATATACAAAGAGACAAAAAAGGATCTTCTACTTTTTTTAAACAGGCTAAATTACCTAAAGCCTTTTTTGATTTGAAAGAGGACTGGGAGCTGAGAGACTACTGGCGGGAACGCAATCAGGAGGAGAGAGACTTTACTTTCTTTTCAGACAGACACCAATCCTTTTCAAGAATTGATTTTTTCTTGATTACAACTGATTTATACTTTAGGGTAAAGAATGCTAAGATTTTTCCTAGGACTTTGACGGACCACAGTCCAGTTTGGATGGAGCTGGTGGATGAAAAAGAGGAGAGGAGATCGTGGAGGATTAATGAGAACTTATTTAGACAAGAAAAGAATGTTCAAAAATTAAAGGAGCATTTAAAGGATTATTTTGTTTTAAATATGCATAAGGGAACATCAATGTCAATGGTATGGGATGCAGGTAAAGCCTTCATGCGTGGGATCTTGATACAAATGAATAATACTCACAGACAAAAGCAGATTCAGAAACGTAAGGATTTGGAAGATGAGATTAAATTAAAAGAAAAAATTTTGATTTCAAATCCTACAGATGAAAAGGTTAAAGAATCTATAAAGTTGCTTAAATCACAATTTAATATGTTGATGGCTGATCAAACTGCAACTAACTTATTGTATATGAGACAAAATACATTTTGTAATGCTAATAAACCAGGGAGATGGTTGGCTTACCAACTCAGAAAGCAACAGAGACAGAGAATTATAGATAAAATAAATCATAATGGTAAATTGGTATATCAGAAGGAGTTGATTAAGAAATCTTTTTTAGATTATTATCAAAAATTATATAAGAGTACTAAAATACAGGTCTCAGATATAGATAATTATTTAAATGAAGCCAACTTCCCTAAATTAACAGAAGATCAGAAACAAGAAATTAATAGTCCAATTACTAGTGAGGAAATTGAGACAGTGATTAAAGAATTAAAATTAGGTAAAGCACCGGGTACGGATGGTTTGACATCTATTTATTATAAAACTTTGGTACAAGAGATGATTCAACCTTTAAGACAGCTTTTTAATAATATATTACAGGGTTTAGAGATTCCCCCGTCATGGGGCAGAGCCTTTATATCTTTAATTCCAAAAGAAGATCAAGATCTTACTCTACCAAAGAATTATAGACCTATATCTTTTTTAAATGTAGATTATAAGATTTTTGCAAAAATATTAGCTAATAGGCTTATGAGGGTTTTGTGTCAGATTATACATAAGGATCAAACGGGTTTTATAACTGGAAGGTATATGAAGAATAATGTCAGACAAATTATTAACTTATTAGAATATCTAGATAAAAATAATCAAGTCTCTGCAGGATTGATATTTCTAGATGCTGAGAAAGCTTTTGACCAATTGAATTGGCAATTTATGTTAAGACTAATCGATAAAATGAACTTTGGAGAAAAAATTTCACAAGCTCTTGGTGCTATTTATCAAAAACAAACGGCACAACTTATAGTTAATGGGGGCTTGTCAGAGGTTTTTACAATAGAAAAGGGGACCAGACAGGGATGTCCATTGTCACCTTTGCTGTTTGTTTTAACTTTGGAAATATTGTTGATTAAAATTCGAGAATCACAGCAAATAAAAGGAATAGAAGTTAACAAAAAAGAATATAAACTAAGAGCTTTTGCAGATGACTTGGTGGTTACCCTGTTCCAACCTACTCACTCTGTAATAGAGTTATTACAATTGATATATCAATATGGACGGGTTTTGGGTTTTAAAATTAATAACAATAAGACTAAAATACTACCCAAAAATATGACTAATATGGATAAGCAGACTTTGGTTAATCTGACAGATTTTGTGGTTGTTGACAAGGTAAAATATTTGGGGGTTACTTTATCTGTCTCTAATGTAAAATTGTATAAAAATAATTATGAAAGGTTGTGGGTCAGGATACAAAGAGACTTGAAAAATTGGGAGAAGTTGCAATTATCTCTTTTGGGAAGAATTGCGGCGATTAAAATGAATGTCCTGCCTAAATTCCTTTTCTTATTTCAAATGATACCTATCTTAAAGAATGAGGTCAATTTAAATGAATGGCAGAAAGGTATCAATAAATTTATCTGGGCGGGGAAAAAACCAAGAGTAAAGCTTAAAATTATACAAGATATTCGTGAGAGAGGTGGACTCAAGGTACCGAATTTGAAATTGTATTATGATGCTGTGGCCTTAACATTAATTAGTGATTGGGTTAATTTAACAAATGTAGAAATACTCTTCTTGGAGGGTTGGGATTTACTTTTTGGATGGCATGCCTATTTAATTTTTAACAAAAAAGTTGACCGGGTTTTTAAATCTCATATTATAAGGATTTCTCTACTTCGGGTTTGGAGGAAATACTACAGAAGTGATTCTAAAATACCATTATGGGCTATACCTTGGCATGCGATAGAGGGGATAAGGAGAGGAGTTAAGATGGATAGTGTTTCTTATTCACAATTGCTTAGATGGGATGGTAAAATTTGGCAGTTAAAATCTTTGGAAGATTTAGCACAAGAAAATATTATATATTCATGGTTTCAGTACAGACAAATAGCGGACAGATGGAAGATAGATCGTAATGTGGGCTTGCTTAGAGAAGATGAAAATTTTGTTAAACAAGTAAAAGATCAAAGACGAACTCATATTAAGAGAATTTATGGGTTGCTAGTAGAATTGGACTCAGAACCAGAATTAATTAAAGAATGTATGATTAAATGGGCACAAAATTTTGGTGAACCAGTTCTACTAGATACCTGGGAAATCATCTGGGTGAGAAATGTTAAATTTACACAAGCCCAGAACTTAAGGGAGAATTTTTATAAAATGTTTTATAGATGGCACCTTGATCCACAAAAAATGTCTCGTATGTATCCCGACTTACAGCCCAAATGTTGGAGATGTGGTTGTTTGGATGCTACTTATTACCTTATTTGGTGGTCGTGTAAAAATATAAAAGCCTTTTGGATTAAGATATGGTGGAATATTCAAAGAATTTTTAGAAAGAGGGTAAAATTTACTCCACAATTGTTTTTGCTAGGTATTGTTACCGATTGTGATACTAAGGAGGTTATATTGATGTTAAATTTAATTACAGCCGCAAGGTTGTTAGTAGGGCAATATTGGAAGAAGGAATCTTTGCCTACCTTGGAAGAGTGGTTTTTTAAAGTATCTTATCTGGCAGAAATGGCAAAGATTTCGGCTTTTTTAAAGGATCAATCGCAAGAGAAGTTTTTTGTGGTATGGGAAAAATGGATAGATTTTATACAACATAAGTTGGATATAAAAATATTACTTAGTTTATCAATAATTTATATATAAATTTTAATATTTTATAGATTGTATTATTTTTTCTTTTTCTTTATATGTTTTATTATTATTTTTTCTTATATTTCTTTTCTTTCTTTCTCTTTATTCTTCTTTTTTTTAGGTATTTTCTCTTTTTTTTCTTTAATATTTATCTCTTATATATATATATATTATTGTTAATTATTCTATTAGTAGTTTAAGTAATGTATTTAGACTTATCTATGGTTTATATATATATATATTTAAGAATTCAAGAAAATTTAATTAAGCCTATATTCAGCTCTGGGAAAGTTGAGGGAGGGACTGGGAGGGTTGGGGTGGGTTGGGGAGGGTTGTTTTTTCTTATTCTGTAAAATTTTAAAAATTTTCAATAAAAAAAAAAAGTCTGTCCATATCCTCCTGTATCTTAAGCCTGTCTTCTGGAGTGTTGGCTATTCCTGCCAGCTTGGTGTTGTCTGCAAATTTGATGAGTTCCCCATCTATCCCCATCCAAATCGTTGATGAAGATGTTGAAGAGCACTGGGCCAGAACAGAGCCCTGGGGCACCCCACTAACACTTCCCTCCATGTAAATGCAGTTCCATTGAGAGGGTTTAGCTTCAGCATGTTTTACAGAAAGAAAAATATCCAAGGTTTTTCTTCTATCATAGGTATAACCCAACCTTCTGATATACATGCAGTGACCATATGTCCTTTATTATAAAGGACAGTCCTTTTTTTCAGAAAGTGATTGTCTAGATTTGTTTTTCAAAAACTCACTTTTGTCCCTTTATCATTTAATTTTTATCACAAAAATATTATTTAATGCACAAAAATACAATACAAAAATTCTAAAATACAATTGAATTGTATTTTTAAAATAAATTTACATATACTGTTTGGTTTTAGATAATTTTATTAAAATAACGTTTTAAAAAAGTTTTTCTTGGTTTTGTTCTTGAATTTTCCTTTGTAAAATAAAGTTAAAAACATAAACATTTTTTTTAAAAAAAATATGAACCTCTTTCAGACTTGTTCCTTTTTGAAGTTTGTCCTTTATTTTTTTCCCAAAAAAGTATGGTCACCATAAGTATACAATATATCTAAAACCCTTCACACAATGGATATATTCATCTTAAAAACATTCCAAATCTGGGCTAACCCCATATCAATATTTTTAATTTTACACTCACTTTACAAAATTTAGAAACCATAAACAGTTCAGGCACACTGTTAAAACACAGTATAAATTAAATTTGTTGTATAAATTCTGTACATAGGTAAATTAGCTTTTATGACTGACTGAAGGGTTTGATAACATGTAACATGAAATAATGGGGTTTTTCATTACTAACAGCTATCATTTACTTATGACCACATTGTTTTGAAATATTAATGAAAGGTGTGGCAAGCACATCGCCGTTACCATTTTATAAAGATAGGTAACATCACAAAGCCATAATGCTTTATTTTCAAGTAACCTTAACATTTGATTGCCAGAGTGACTAAATAAGAATAAGAATTGAGATCAGCAACAGCAATTATATGCTTTCAGTGACACGTACACTCCAGTTTGACTTGAAATCTAAGTCACAATAAGAGGAGCTGCTTTTACAAATGACAGGGCTTGGCTGGAATGGGGGAATGCTACACATTATTTGGACTTATAGAGTTTGGAAACAGGTTGTACTTTGAAAACGGGATAATACCTCTTGGCGTAATGTCTTGTTTTTTCAAGGTCTTTATGACACAATTTCCATTTGATGGCTATATAGAGAGAGATCTATAGTTCCATTGATTAATAGATAATGATGCTCACATCTGTTCATGAGACCTTTGGGTTTATGTTTCAATAGCAGTTTCTTGTAACGTGCATGTATCTGCTTTGGAAACATTGCTAACAGTTTACTTTAACTGTTTTAACAATAGAAAAAAGAAAAGCATTGTTAAGCAACTTTTAAGATTCTTGCCCAAATAATCTTATCACTTGAAATGTTTAACCATTGGTACTGAAGTTTAGTATAAAATAATTATTTTTCTCCTGCTTTGGTCTACTACTAGTATTATCGGTATCAAACTGATCTCATACTGTTGTATATAATATTTTGCATGTTGCTTTCAGCTATTGAGTTCATATTACAAGCCCCATAATGTCCTCAGGAATGTAGGCTGACTCAAAGTAAGCTCTACCATTTCAGATAAGGCAGTTTTTCCTTCATGTATGACACACGGGATTCTAAACACTTGGTGGGAATCCTGCAGGGATTGGGGAGCTCTGCTTTGCAAATCATCATGTATGACCTATGGAAAGCTATGAGCCTGGCAAAGTGGGGAGGCAGATAGTCCTTGATTTATGACCACAATCGAGCCCAAAATTTCCACTACTAAGCAAGATGGTTGTTAAGCAAGTTGCACCCCGTTTTACAACCTTTTTGCCAGTTGTTAGGAAAATCACTGCTGTTGCTCAGTGAATCATGCAGTTGTTAAGTGAATCTGGCTTTCCCCCATTGACTTTGCTTGCCGAAAGCCAGCTGGGAAGGTTACAAGGTCACAAACCCTGGAATTGTCAGAAATAGAGTTGTCACGTGCCTGGATTTTGATCATGTGACCATGAGAATACTGCAATGGTCATAGGCATTGCTTTTTTTTCTTAAAAAAAAAAAAAAAAGGTGCCGGAACTCACACACGTCATACAACCTGCCTTGCCTACCCTACAAGGTTCCAGCCAAAAAAGGTGCCGGAACTCCGTTCTGGGCGCTCTATGAGAAAAAAAGCCCTGGTCATAGATGTGAAAACTGGCCATAAATCACTTTATTCAGTTCCCTGTAACTTCTAACAGTCACTGAACAAATGGTTATAAATCGAGAACTATCTGCACACCATTCATCCCTCTTCCTTCGTAGGATTTTCATTCAAGAAGAATTGAATAGGACAAGTAGCTAACTTTTTAAGCAGGGTAGGAGATAACAAGAGTGCCAGGCATTTCCATAGCACCAATTATTTTTGTGTATTTACACATACCACATTATATATGGTTATCGTAAGTGGGCTTCAGTGGTTATTAAATGAAAACTGACATCACATCAAGTTTTAAATCTAAAAATATCAGGTATTTTACATGTATGATTAGTGACTGCTGCTAGTTATTAAAATTAGCTACTATAATAATAGATCGATGAAAGCCTTGTTTTGATTGTGCAGTTCATTCCTCACCTTCTGAGAAGCAGACTGTTCCCATTCTAGTGGCAGCTCATGAAAATTACTCATTGCCATAATTGATTCTCACTATACTTTTAGTGACAGCAACACTGATCCTAATGTATTTGACTGTTGCTTAGGTTTTTGATCGTCTCATTCTGAAACATTTTAAGTGGAGTTGAACTAATTACATTCATCTCAAGATTCTACTTTTTGTAGTGATGGGAATGATTCCAGAACTACAGCTGAAAGAAATGCTGTCTTTTTCTATCAAATGAATAACAAATTACATTTGCAATCTTAGGCAGGCTGCGTTTTTTTAAAGAAATGCATTCAGTATGTCCATAATTCAGTATAAAATGCCTTGCTCATTGTATAAGGTCAGACCAGACTGAGGATTCTTTCATAAGCTTAGCAATTTTCAGTATGCAGAGCTGAATCCATTTATAATAGTTTCTGATGAAATCTAGGTGAATTATTTGGAATATTTTCCTCCTGTGAAACTTAGTATGTAACTATTCATTCAATAAATTGTGTTTATGTTTCTGAAAGGATGTGCATAATGTATTCATATTATAGATCTGAAATACAGATTTGCTTTGTTTCTTACACACAGCCAAAGCAGTGTTTGTAAGTAAAAACAATGAAATTAAATATTTGCAACTGATACTAGCTGCTATGAGAAACCTCATTTTAAAATACATACATTATCACTCTTATTTTAATAAGCAGAAATACATTTGATCACCATGATCTCAGAAAAGTCAAATATATTAATTGTTAAAATCTGGCTACAGTTAAGAGTTACTTTCAAACAAAGGAGAAGTCATATAATCCTTGGATTTATTTAGTAGCATTTAAGGAGAAAAAGCTGTGCTCTCTTCAGCAAAAGAAAATATATCAGTATTTTAAATAACTCTTGGTCTATTAAGTGAAAGTCATCTTTTAGCAGGTTATTATTAATGGGATAATCCCATTAGTATCAACTGTGGGATATTTAGTAATTCAAGCCTTTGTAGATGCAGGAAATCCTACATGAGAATATCTTCCAGATGGGCTTCTGGTCTTAGTTCAAAGACAGCCAGAAAATTGCCTCCCCCTCCAGCTTTTTTGTTATGTTTATTATGTTTTTAAGATTTGTATTATCACTGTTTTGGGGCTTAATTAGCCATTTTGCACTTCTAAGTTACAATTTGCTTTGCAAATTTTCTCATGCAGAACAGTGAATTATCATTAAACCATTATAAAATAGCGCTTTCATCTTCTTCCTACCATTCAATCAACATTCATCTTCCCTAACTTAAGCCCATTAGATTAATCCTGTCTTCAGGAGCAGAACTGAAGCAGCATTGGCTTGTTTTCTACATTAGACCGGCTGGTATTTGGAAAGTACCCATCTCAGTCTTTTCCAAGCTAAATATTCCTTTAATTTACCTTTATATTAATCATGTTATTTTAAATCACTTTTGCCCTGTCTTTAACTTTTTCCAATTTGTCTCATCTTTCTTAAAGTATTCAGAAATAGTACTAGACAAATCTGATTAGTCTGAAATAAGGAAAAAGTATTTATTCTTGTCACTAAACATTATGATTCTATTAATATTCATGGCACTCTTTTGCAGCTTTTTCACACTGGTGACTCTTCATTTTGTTATCATCTAGAAACCTCATGTATCACTGCTAAATCAGGTGCTGTCTACCATGCGTTAGTGTTCTGAGCATGCCTGAAGGTAGATATTTGCACTGTGTTGTGCTGCAATTTATACTGTATTACTCAGCCTTCCATTATATCAATGGCATTTTGAATGTGTTACTGCTACTGTATCAGGTAACAGTTATTCATATTCTGGATTATCTTAAAATAAGATTTCTCTGCATCTAAGTAATGGATCAATGGTTAAAGTTTATTCCTCTCCTAGTATGGCATCTCACTCTTTGATTTAATGAAGAATTATTGATAAGAACTGAAATATTTTGCATTGTGAATTCATTTATGAATGTCACAGCCAGCAAACACACAATTAAGACGTTTTGCTACAAAATGTTATCAGATCTTTGTGGACACCAAGATACATTATTTCTTGCACTGTTTTCAATATCTGTTCAGCTAGTAACCCAATCCAAAAGAAATAATTCTATATTTATTTTTGACATTCTATGTTTCTTTCTACATGCAGTATTTTTAGACATTTCTAACCTGTCTTCCTATCTTTTCTAGTTTCATCAGACTGACCATTCTTACAGCTTCTTGGATTTTCTTTTTTTCCTGTTTAAAATCTGAAACATCTACCTCCCTATATTTTTGCAGTATTCCTTCATTTTTCAAAATTTACTATAGAAAGGAGCTATCAAATAAGAGTGTAAAGAAATTTATCTTGCCTCTTATTCAGATGCTGAGATTGTTACTGCTTTTATTCAGATGCTGAGATTGTTACTGAAGCAGTCTGAATACATCTAGATAATTCAAATACTGTAGCTCTCTTGCAATAGCTACCTGAAATAGCTACTACATTGTGACATAGTCAGTGCAGAAACTGTTGTGTGTGTGTGTGTATGTATGTATGTATGTATGTATGTATGTATGTATATGTGTGTGTGTGTGTATATATATATATATATATATATACACATACACACACACATATACACACACACAAAATTCTTTCTTAATATGTCACAGGCCACAAATACCTAACTCTCATCTAGATAGGTAGTCAGAGCAACATATATATTTTTTATAAAAATCATTCTTTGACTGACATGAAGCATTTTTGTGCCAGCACACAGTGGAACAGATGTGAGGAAAGAAATAGGTTGTCAAGAAGGCTTGTACAGATAAATAACAGTTATATCCCAGAAGCTAAGATTGCTTTACTCAAAGAAACAAAAAGGCTCCTTGTGAGAAAATCCAGAAGGAATGTCATAGAATTTCACTGTAGACATATTCAGAAGCAAAAGCCTATCTAAATTAAGATTCAAACCTATCCAGCGTCTAATGACTGCTTTATTGTTCATGTAATGCTGGTTGAGACTTTGACCAGAATGCTAAACTCTTGTATACGATAGAAGGCAAGAGTTAACTCTCTAAATTCCACTTCTTGGTCACTGTGCAAGTGATCGATGTTGGAATTGGGTGAATGACGGAATGCATTTAACTGATGCATAAAATATGTACATTGGTATGAGTCTAATCTATATATGTGGCATCCGATACCTGTAATTCTCAAACCAAGCCCACACTGTGCTGGATATTACTTGCAAATATCAGAATCTGAATTAGGAGTCTTTCTGGTACCATTTTATTATGAAAACGTCCCAGTTATTAAAATGAAGGTTTGCGCTTTACTGCAATTCTATACAGTCAGCAGTAAGCTAGGGATTTGTTTCACTCCATTACTTATAATTAATTTAAAAAGACTATTTGAGTATAATTTGCAACCATTGCTTGCCCTCCCACTAAGCATTATGGCAGACATATTAATGTTTGATTGTTCCCCATTACTCAACTTTCACTGTACCTCTCAAATCTGTACCTCTAATGCATCTTGATGGATTTGAGAAAAGAATGCCATAGCTGGGAGGCAGTAACCATCACCTACACAGAGGGAACCATGAAACAAGGGATCCATCTCAGGAACCTAGTATTGATAATTTCAGTGCAACAATTCATAGACTGTAAGACACACTAGAAATAAGAGCCCTACTATCACATGACTATATTTTCTAAAATATTTCTTTTCTCTGATAAAGAGAAAATAAGTAGGTGAAAGTAACTGTTGCGGTCCTTAACAGATTTTCTTTCTGTTAATGATGCAAGATTCCTTAAAGACTGTCTCTCAACAGTCAACAGAACTGGAGAATATGCTACATGCTTTACATCATAAGGGTCACACTAGAAGTCATATGAAGAGCTTAGGAGATCACCATGAAGATCAAAGATGATTCTGACTTCAAACTGAAGGAGACATAGCAAATATTCCCAGCTCAAATCTTTCAGTACTAAAAAAGTAGTATATGTAGGTTATTCATTTTAATATGGTTTTCTATTAGTCTTTTATTTCCTGATGTTAGAATAGTCTTCACTGAGGTTGAGGATTGTGGAGGAAAAATAATCCTTCTCTATGTAGTAGCATAATGTAATTGGCAACATCTACTTTTCGCAGTTCTCTTTGAATTACTATCAGATACACCCTGCTTCTGAGATTACAAACCCTGTACTCTTCCATGGAGACTGTTTTGGATTGCAGCACTGTGACTTTTCTTGCTTTTTCTTGTTCATTTAATAAGTCAAGTTTAAATAGCAATAAGGACTTGGTTCTGATAAAGTCAAGATCAAACCATCTACTGGCTTTTCACTATAGGGTTCCATATTGGCTGTAGCAACATGTGTGCAGTAAAAAGACTACTCACTTGAGTCTTTCTGATGAATCCAGTTAATCACATTAGAGAGCCCCCCAATGGACACAAAAATAAAGAATAAAATATTCTAAATCCCAAATAGGCATCTTTGGAATCCATAGTGCAAAGTAGTTTTGCTGAGTTAGTTTGTCCTGGTATATTTATAGATTCTTGTCTTCAAGTCTTTCCTAAGATAGTTGACCTACAAAACAAAAACATGAAAGTAGTAAAAAAAGGGGGGGAAACAAATACAGCATAAAGTTATTTAGAATTAATTTGGCCTCACTCTTCTAAGTGCTGGCAATGCCAGATTTATAAAGGAAAACAGCAATTTAAGGCAGGAATCACAGCAATCAGTGTACATTCTCATCACAATGGGTAACTACATTGCAAAGTCATGAAACCAAACACAATTAGTTGAGAATAATTATGTATTAAAAAACTCACTTTCTATTATACTATTTTCTCTATCATGTTATCTTAACATGCTATCAAATGGGTCATCTTTGTAAGCTTCCTGGAGGCATTGAGAGTGAGTTGGGCAGCCATATAAATTTTCTTAAATAAATAAACAAGTAAATAATTAAATATAGCTTGAAGATAACAAGGCAAGTTCAAGAGATATTTTTTTTTACTAAACAGTTGGCAAAGACTTTTCCTGGGATATCTATTGGGTTCATGAGGGTCCAGGAATGTGACACTGCTTTGCAGCATGCGCCATTCTCTTGCTCCATTAAATAAATGTCTCTAAGAAGAAAATAAATAAAACTCTGCAGCAGTAGTGATCTAGGGCTTTGAAAATTCAAATGCTGCTTTTTCCGTTAATCCCCTCCCCCTTTTCCTCAAGCCCTGAGCTAGGGAATATGATGGGCCCCTTCTGAGAATATGTGGATTATGATTTTATTGCTGCTGCTGGATGCCTATTGTTCTTCTTTATCATTTTAACTGTTTTTAATATAATATGACACCCGGAATAATTTGGAATTTAGATGGCTTTACAAAAGCAATAAATAAGTAAAATAACCTTCTGATCTTATCTCTCAAGTACCTTCGATAGATATTTTGCTCATACTAAATAATTTTATTTCATTCATACTTGCTCGTCTTGCTTGTCAGATTGTATATTATAATATACTTTCCCTCTAGAATCTCAAAGAGGCATACATAGCACTGCTTCCCCCATTTTTCCCCACCCCAAAATCCTTGTGATATGGGTTGCCCTTACAGTATGTCATCTACTGAGCTTCCATGGTTAGGGGTGTCCTGGAATTTTCCTGGTCCTATTTCAACACCAATAAAGGAGAATATTTGTAGCTCAGGATTGAAATGAAGAGTCCTTGGTGCTCTCTGAGTCTGGTTGTTTTCTTGCAGACATTTTATTATCCAAATAGGGAACATCAGCAGTGCTAGTAAGAAGTGAGGTTTGATGTTGCCACTAGAATATAAATTCAGGGCAAACCCCATTCCTTATTATCATCCTTACTACTGAGGCTACCTGTTTGGGTAATGAAATGTCTGCAAGAAAACAACCAAGTTCAGAGAGCAGCAAGAGCCCCTTATTTCAATACCTTAATTAATTCACCATTCTGACCCTCAAATTTCCATCATTAATTTCATGGGCCAACTATAATAGGTTTTTTTTTTTTATCTTCTGGCTTGTAATGGGAAATGTCTCTTCTTAATAGAAGGTTCACTGAGGAAACAGCTTTGTCCAGTAGTCTATTTGTTGCTCCAGCTACATAGGCTTTAAACTTTTTTTTTTTTTTGTATCGTAGTAGTTCTAACTCAGGGATGTTAAATTTGCTGCATCACGTGACGTGTCGCAGCGTATCGTGACTTTTTTTCCCTTGCCGGAGCTGGGGTGGGCATGGCTTCTGCGTGATGCATCCAGCCTGTGGGCCGGCAGTTTGACACCCCTGTTCTAACTGGACCTCCAATTATTGTTCTTATGATCAAAGAAAACTAGTAGCTCAGACACCTAATGTTTTGAAGTGGAAAATACATGAAAAGTCTAGGGTATAAAAACGATAAGCAAAGAAATATTCAAAGAAAACCTGTCTTTCTTCAGAAAAATGAAAATTTCCACCCTGCCTCATCCATGGGCCTCATTTATGCGTCCAAAATGACTCTTACCATACTTAGTAGATATGTTTAGGCATGTGTTATGAAGAAAGACAGCAATAAAAATAACAATGAACAAAGATTGCAATAAATCATGCAATCATTATATTTGCTTGTGCGCAAAGATCTTTTAATTCCTATCGTAGCCTTTTATTTCTAGCCAAGTACGTAGTTATTTATGGGTAAGAGAGAAGATAACTTTTTCAGTATGTTATCCATCTTTTCTACACCAATAAGAAATTTTAGCTCAGATTAAAAGTGTAAATACCGTAGGTTTTTCCATCTCTCTTTTTCTGTTTGGTTTTCTGGACTTTCACTTTCATAGGAAGCCAAATACAAACCTAAGAAAATGAGATTGGGACGAGAAAGAATACAAATCCATTACTGAATTACTAGTAGCAGTTAAAAGGTTAACAGTCTCACAAAACAAAACATGATACGCATTAAAAGTAAGGAAACAATCTGTGCAGCCAAGCCAACTTTCTTGTTCACAAATTCTTCTGAATTCTCTTAATGTATTCTGTTCTAAAGATATTGTTAACGTAGCTTTACAATAAAACAGAATTAGTTTATCTGGGTCCTACTTCCTTTCTGGTCCACCTGGTAGGGCTGACATCAATTGTGCAAGTTTGAAAGTAAAATTTTCCCAGAGTCACCTGTATAGTCTGAAAACCCAGGGATAGTCCCTGCTGAGCATCCCCTACTATGCAGCTGAGGTCTGTGCAGTCTTTTATATGACTGTTCCCAAAGCAATATCTCTTTGGTCCTGTCTCTCCAGGTCTTTTCTACATACCATTACACCAGTTAAGGCAGGGGTCTTCAAACTTGGCCCTTTTATGACTTATGGACTTCAACTCCCAGAACGCTGGCTGAGGAATTCTGGGAGTCGAAGTCCACAAGTCATAAAAGGGCCAAGTTTGAAGACCCCTGAGTTATATATGTACATACATATATAATTTTTATTAATGAGGTTTTCAACAGAACTAAAACAGTACAAATTTTAAGTTAAAATAAAAATAAAGAAAAACAAGCAGGTGAAGAAGAAATAAAAAGAGAGAAGTAAAAAAAGGAAAAGGTTTTAAAGAAGTGGCTTCCAATCTTAACAGTGGTTATAAATGCATTGAGATCTCTCTCTAAGGTTGCATCATAATTTGCTTCTTTCCATATTCTACCCACTGTAATCATCAAATCCAATAATGGCTTACTTACTATGCAGAAACAACTACATTAGCATCTTCCCTTACATTAAAATAGAACTAGTACATTTATTGTTTCATAGCCTTTCACATTTTGGATCCCCCAAATACCTGTGTTTCCATGCCTGTCCAAAAGTTCCACTTCTGATGGGTTCTTATGGGTCTTGAAAATGATTTTTTTTCCTTGCTGTATTCTGAACTTATCTATAACCAATAATGTCCCAAATGTTTCACACAATTTTTGTGAATGAGTTTTAAGGACTTTTGTTTAAAAGTGCAAAGGTCAGAAACACACCAAAAGTCTATAAAAGTCTGTAGGCAGAGTTAATTCATCCAGCCTCATCTCTGACATGAGGATAATTGAATATGACTGAATTAGTTTATTATGAAAGGACACAGAGTAACATGATCTATCAAGTGGATAGGAAGGAAAATCAGACAAAAGCTCCATAACAAATGGGCATGATTAACTGCATCCAAAATAACTTTAGGGTTTTTTTTCAAGCGTAGCACAAAAGGTAAATCTTCCTTTGCTGGGGGTTGGCCTCTAATTTCTGTGGTTGAAGCCATCACAAACATGATTTGCAAAAGAATAGATTTGTTTGCATATTGTGCAACATTAGCACAGTAAGGCCATCAGGTCTATTGCTTTGTGGATTGACTATAAAAATATGTCCTCCATAATCACCCTAATCCCTACCAATTATAGACAATGTTGATTTCTATAAGAGCACATTCCCAAAAACATATTTTTAGTCAATCATACAGAATAATGTCAGTAGCAAATAGCAAATTCATGAAATCAGGGTGTTCTTACCATCTTCAGTAAAGATAGGGGCGGTATGTAAATAGTGGATTATGTTATCATCACGTTCAAATGGACATTCAACTTGTTTCCATGTTATGAATTCTCCCACTTGTTTAGCCAGTTCCAAGAATTTCTGTATCAATTTTAAAAAGAGATGTTTAGATCAAAGAAAATAATAATCTAGTAAAATTATGACTGCAGCTTCAGAATACTCCAATCTTAATCTGATAACGTCTGAAAAAAATGGGAGTATGTGATCCTCCCAGAAGCTTTTCTATATTTCTGTAATATGGGATAAAATACATTAATTTGCAGTTTTAATAAAATTCTCTGATCTGGAATTCAACAGGTTTTGTTCTTTACATAAATTTGCTATGAGACTATTTTGGCAGCCTTCTAAAATTAGGCATCTCACTAATTAAGATTAAGTTCTTCTACAATACATCAATATAGCTAAGGACTGACATAGTTATAACAATACATCATTAATTCCAAATAGAATCCTTCTTTAATTTCTTTACTGTTACCTCTTGACAGTAATGCCTAAATTCTTAGTAAAGACTAAGTAAATCCACAATAAATATGAGGTTATAAACGCATATATGAAAGTTCAGTCATCAATATAAAAGATATAAACAGTAACAATAACTGAAATTCACCACAAATAGTCCTATTTGAATAATCATTTATCATACATATTAGACAAATTAATTATTGTTAAATAGTCATTGGTGTTAATACATAATCATGAAGCAAAGAATAATAAATTCATCTGACATTTTTAACCTGATTAGGCTTATTGTTTTAACACAATCCTTGAAATTTATAGTAGTTTTGGTAGTGAATACTGATGCAAAGCTTTATTCCAGGGATGCTTTGTTCAGTTTGAACTTGTAAAATATTATTTAAAAATTAAATACTTATATTCTATAGGTATAACATATGCAGGAGCATAAACTGTCAATTACATGTATTGTTCTCAAGTGGCTTCTGCAAACAAGATTGTCCCTTAAATCTCTGCCCCTGGGGGGTTTTTTGGGGGGGATGTTCCCACTCTACAAATTGCCACAGCAGCTAATTTCCATCCCAACTGCTCTGCAGGGCAGCTACTACTGTTTTCCACCTCATAATCCTCTCCCAAATACCTCATTTTCTTAAGCAATAAGATGGAAGGTATAATTTGCTGTGATTCTCCTTCCCTGCAAAATTTTACTGGAAGAAAGCAGGCCCTGTCTGATAACCAGAGCAGGAAACAGCTGCGGAGAAGGAGAGCTAAAGAGCCCTATAAGGAGCAAAATATATTTTTGTAGGTAATATAAATCAATGTTTCTGCCTTGAGTACATTCTCTTCTATCACATGAACAGGTTCCCTTGATCTTCAGGGGATATTTTTTAAAGGTAGAAAAAGGGTCTGAGAAAATCCTGTTGTGTAGCTAACTCTCAGAGTGTAGGCCTTGCACATATGCAATGCATTTGTGCTTTGAAAAAAAATCTTGAAATAAAGTTGCAAAGATCTCTTTTTATATATCAACTGCTTTTGTTTTTTTACCAGGAAACAAAAGCATCATGGCTCAGAAAACATTTGCTGCAATAAATAATACTTCCTGTGCTTACTTCAAAGTTGACATGCCCATTTGGAAGGCGGTTTGCACATCCCTCATTCAAAAAATAAATATCTTTGATCAGAAGGCTGAAGAAGGGGATTACAATCTGTGAAGAGAATGGCGTAACAATTGTCTCCATCGTTCTATTATTGATGCACAAAAAAACAGTTCATTCATACAAAGTGAAGAGATTAACTTTTCAATTCTAATGAACAAACAGTAATGTGAGTTAGGCCTAGTGGTTCCATAAAGTATCTGCAGGGCTGAACTAATCTTCTCTGCACACACAAAGGCAATGGACACAAACATAGGTATAATAATTCCACAAAGACTAAATACATTACAAGTGTTTGACTGATTAAGTATCATTGTTTAAAAGGATAGTATTTATAGGTAAATAAGATTATTTTATGCAAAGGAAAGGTTTAATGTGAATTTAGTGAATATCAACAATTTGCAGAGAGATCTACAAAGCCAAGTAAACATTTACAATTAATCCCCCTTAGCAAACATATGGGATAGATATTTGTGACAAAAGCCTATGATGCACGCAGCAGAAATTCCAATCATATGAATAAAACATGTTAGTTTTTTTACAACACTGGCACCCATGGATAAAATGTGTTTTATGCAAGGCCTGATTTTGTCATGGATCAACACCAATGAAATCAAGTGAAACAACATGGGTTTACTTTGGTTATATTATATTATCCTCTACATGTATCATTTCATCTTAAATTTGGAACTCCTCTAACTATAATTCCTCTGCATAATTTTGAGTGGATAAACTCAGGTAGAAATCAGTGCAAAGAAGTATAAAGATGCAGTCCAACACCCAGTGCATTTTGAATACTAGGCTATTCATTATGGCACAGAAAAGGCTATTTTCATAGAAGATTATCCGGAAGAGGTATTATTAATAAAGCTTCCTTCCTTCCTTCCTTCCTTCCTTCCTTCCTTCCTTCCTTCCTTCCTTCCTTCCTTCCTCCCTCCCTCCCTCCCTCCTATCCATCCATCCATCCATCCATCCATCATTAGATTTATATCTGCTTATTTTGTGCAGATTAAGACAGTGTACATAATGTTCCCTCCTCCTATTTTCTCAACAATAACCCTGTGAGGTGAGTTAGTTCAAGAATGTCTGAAAGTCACCCAGCTGGCTTCTGTGACTTTAGGAAGATTAGAGTTTGCAGTCCCTTGGCTTCTAATCTAACACCTTACAATTTTATATACTGTATGTGTGGTTGTGTGTCTATACACACATATAATTTGTCAGCTTAGTCTGATGAAGTATGCTGAAGATTAGGAAAGGAATAAGAGAAGAGGATGGGGGAGTCTTACATTTGTTTAATATGAAAATCTGAGATCAGAGATCAAATGGTCGGGCAAATGGTTTTCCTATCTATGCTAGGGAAGAGGAAGAAATCATTCATACTGTCCTGCAATGAAATTAGCTACACTTGAAATTGAGAGACTGAAAGCATTATGTTCTTCTCCCAAGTCTGCTTTATCACAATTTCAATCACTGGTGAAAAAAACTGGAATGCTGTCAATCAAATCTCCAGAATCCATAATAAACAAGTCACTCATTTAGATACATCTTCAAGTTTCTTATAATTCTTTCTCTACTCTGTATCTGAAAAAGAGGAAAAGCAATTTGCCTTCTTTGGGATGAACATAATAAATAAATCACATTGTTTCTCTTCCAATTATATTCTTGCTAGCAAAAGTTTGACCCTAAAATACTGTAAAAGAAAAAATGAAATATGTTATCACAAACTGCAGAGCAATAACAAGACGAAGTATCCATTCTATATTTATACACTTGCTAATTACTGCATGGGTAACAATTAGCTGCAATGAAGTCCTGTAGTTAAAGCTCCTGAAAAAGCTACAAGAAAATTCCACTGATAATCTTTTGGAACCTTTTAGAGATTATGCTCTGTGTGTAGCCTCTGTGCCTAGTGGCCAATGCAAATATTATCCTGAAGCAGAGTTCATGGAGTGTCTAATGGAAATTTCACACCATAGAAGGCTGACTCAGCTCCCTAAAATATTGGGAGATAAACAGATTTCAAAGTTGACTCTGGTGGAGCAAAACTGTGGTGGAAATGCATAATGAAATATTGTGGAAGATGACCTTCCTGTTTTCTGTTTTAACATCAGAGAAGCAGATGTGAAAATTTGCTGGTGCGCCATTTCTATCCATCTGGGTTAAAGAGGTTTTTAGAGAGTAGGAAGAAAGTATGTAGGAAGCACAAAAGGCTAAACCCTACAATGACTGCATTATATACTGATGTTGGATCCTTTATTTACCAAAAGTTACATTGATTTATATCCATCAGCTCCCAATAAGACGACCAACAACTCTCCATGGACTCAGTAAGTTTTTGAACTCAGTTCCGATTGTTGATCTTAACCTTCAGAGCTACAAGGTTCAAGACCAAAATATCTACTGGATTGCTGTTCCCTGCATGAGCCCATCCATCCATCGTGATCTTTTCATGACTCTAAAATCATGTGAGATAAGAAAGATTTTTTTCCAGCAGCAGGAAAGAATAGATTGATTCCTTGTTTTATAAAACTCTGAGAGGCATAATGTTCATGCTCCACCAATCCCTTTTTATGGCACCTTATTTTGGTGCTTTCATTTCCTTTCACTTTCCTTCTTTTTGTCTGTTGATTGACTGATGACTTCAGAGGACTGAAATAATGCTCAAGATTATGTTTTTGCTGACTGAAAATATAAATCTCAAATGTTTGATTTTCCCAAACATCAAATTACACTTTCAATGAAGTCTCTTGTATCTGGGTGCCCAGGGTAACTGGATCATCCCACACAAGCTGCTCTAGCTATTTATCCTTAATTAGTTTCTCTGAAAAATGTTGCTAATTCTCTGTTTTCAATATGCCAATACAACCATTTTTAATTGAGAGCAATTTGGATTTTATTTCTGTCACACTGAGTTCATCTATCTCCATGCTGCCCTTTATTACTTCTTTTTTTCGTACACTGGTTCTATAAATTCCTACTGCTTTTTAACTGACTCACATCAAATGTATGTTGATATAAATGGTAGAACTGTAAAGGGATGGATGCCAACCGCCAAAAAACATTGATAGCCAAAATTCTATGACATCATTTTGGCTTTCCCATTTAGCTTCCTTTATTCTTGGTGTCCCAAATTAAATTAATCAGGAGTTGATGAATTGATAACGCTCCTTCAGAATGCAATGGCACATGCTTGAATGTGTTGAAGATTTGCAAAGCAAATAAGCTTGTCAGTTAAAGTGTTAAGATATTCATCTCTTTCATTTGCCTAAAATAATTCACTTCATGATATATATGTTTCCATTCAAATAGCAGTTTGTCTCTTACACTCTCTTTATCTTTGTCCATACAGATCTTGCTTCTGGCAGTTCACAACTCCAAGCGTCTACTCTGACAATTTTTAACAGTTTGTTTTTTAATTAGTCACTGCCTAACATAAGAAATGCAGAAAAAATATTATGTTTTCTTTGTTCAAGTGATAAACAAACAAACCAACAAATCTAAGCACCCTATTTATACACATCCTTCAAAAGAACAAGAATGGAATTTGGCTACAGGGTCAGCAATGAATAAGATTGCCCTTAAATAAGTAATCATAATATTTTATAATGTTTTTCACAGCATGAATACAGATATTATCTACTGCATTCTTCTAAGATGTAATAACATTTTAGAAAGTGGTAAAACATCTGCTCACAGATGTTATTAGTTTCCAAATTTCATCCTCCCATTGCAGCATGTTGAATGATGAGGGATGTTGGAAGCTATATACCTGGTTCACACATAGTAGTAAGTAATCATACAACTTAATTCATTTTTACTTAGAATGATACATGAACCTACCTATTATGGTTTAGTGGTAGCTACTTAGCAAAACTTTTTAAATAAATCCTCACATAAAGGTATACATGAACACACTTTTCTTGGCAAGATATTTATTTTTATCTCATCCTTATTATTTTTATAAATAATTCAAGGCGGCAAACATACCTAATACTCCTTCCTCCTCCTATTTTTCTTACAACAACCCTGTGAGGTGAGTTGGGCTAAAAGAGAGAGAGTGGCCCAAGGTCACCCATCTGGCTTTCAAGGTTAAGGCACAGCCTCCTGGTTTCTATCCTGATACCTTAACCACTAGCCCAAAATGGCATGCTTGGGATAATCACAAAGGAACAAGCAGTGCTGGTTTTAGTTACAGTATATGACAGTCTTATAATTCTACATGTTTGACATCTTCAGAGCTTTTCTTAATGTCTCTAAATAAAACATAGTCAGTTTAAGTTAGTAGTAGTGTTAAGGTACCAGACTAGAAACTGGGAGACTGTGAATTCAAATCCTACATTAAAACAAAGCTAGCTGGGTAACTCTGGGCCAGTCATTCTCTGTCAGTCCTAGGAAGCAGACAATGGCAAAGCACTCCCAAAATTTTACAAAGAGAACTGCAGGAACTTATCCAGGTAGCTGCCAGGACTCAACATTGGCTTGAAAGTATATTCATGTGCACGCACACATACACACGACAAACATACAATTTATTTCAGCTTCCTTTAATTGTCCCTAAGATATCCTGTGTATAGGAATTGTTCATGTGAAACTGCCTGATCTCAGTACTGATCAATCTAGACAGCATGTTAGGGTTGACATGATAGCAGTGTTCCAATATCTCAGGGGTTGCCACAAAGAAGAGGGAGTCAAGCTATTCTCCAAAGCACCTGAAGGCAGGACAAGAAACAATGGATGGAAACTGATCAACGAGAGAAGCAACCTGGAACTAAGGAGAAACTTCCTGACAGTTAGAACAATTTATCAATGGAAGAACCTGCAGAAGCTGTAAATGCTCCAACACTGGAAGTTTTTAAGAAGAGACTGGACAGCCACTTGTCTGAAATGGTATAGGGTTTCCTGCCTGAGCAGGGGATTGAACTAGAAGACTCCAAGGTCCCTTCCAACTTTATTATTATTGTTGTTGTTGTTGTTATTGTTATCGTTGTTGTGATGATGATGATGATGATGATGATGCACTAGTGTCTTTCTCAAATCTTTCAATCACCACTATCTATGTTTTATGTTTTATGAAATACACTTAGCATACTTTCCCAAAGGTGCTTTTTCCAAAAGGCAATTGGACTTTCTTGGCTTTTTCATCTGAAAACATTTCGTCTGTCATCCAAGAAGCTTCTTCAGTTCAGATAAGAAATGAAACACGTTCAAAGGGAAAAACCAAGAAAGTCCCATTGCCTTTTGGAAAAAGCACCTTTGGGACAACCATGACTTGGATGATTGAGAATCTTCATAGACATTGAGCAAACATTCATTTTCTCAGTTATATAAATATACAGGAAAATAGTAAAGATGAACTAACATGGAGAATATACAGCATATTGCAAAGAATCTTTTAAATAAAGGATATTTGTAGCTCAGGGCTGAAATGAGGGGTACCTCTGGAATAATTAGAATAATATACATGAAAGACTGATGACATATGTTCAGTAAGGCAGAGAGAATGAACATCTGCACATACTAAAGCAGAGTGCTGACCGACTTCCAGTTAGAAGGCAAAGGTAGGAAGGATCGAAGTGAGCATGAATGCTCACACTGCACCAACCTTTCTGTCCTTGCTGTTTTCATCGCTTTTCTAATAGAGTTCTAAATAGTAAGTGCAAAAATCCCTCTGGTAACAGGAGTGGAAGGAATCGCAGAACTTGGAGGCAGACCTAACTATATGACCCTGGTGACAATTTTATCATGATTCTGTATGCAGTGTGTGAAAAGGGCTGGGGAAATAACTGAAGAGTTAAAGAGAAGAAAGGATTTCGTAAGTGTGTGGTATTGTAACTCCCACTCTCGATAAAATCCCACTATTATGTGGTAGTTAGAATGCAAGGCTAAAATTGGATGCATCCAAGTAGAAGCCCATGTTTTATCACAAGTAGCTGTTTTTCAGCCTCAGTCACTTTACAGGGTGAGGGAAAACTACTGGAGGTGGCATGTAAAATGTTTATAGTTATGATAAGAATAGTTACCTTTTCCCTGTTGCTGTGTGCTGTTAGGGACCGATGAGCAGCTCCCCTTAAGGCAGTCCTGTAGTTGTAAAAATTGCCAGTAGGATCCATCTGGTGCTGAAATAGAGAGGGTAGGATGTGAAGAGAGAAGGCCCCTGTATAAGTTCTCGAGTCAGATAAAGGCTGGTATTATCTTTCCATCACAGAGTTTTACAACTTGATATAAAGACTAAATGCCACAGGTGAACTGAGAAGATGACTTGATTCCCCCCCCCCGGCAGGTCAATCACTTTCTGTTATCTCCTTTTATTCTCTCTCCTTACGTCTATAATGTTTTTATGGAATAAATTCCCAAGGATGCATGTAGAATGCTTCCTAATTTTGTTTGGTGGCTTGTTCCTACTTTACTTTGTGGCTGTATCTGAATTGAAATGAATTTACTCTTCTATGAGAACTTTTCCATTCTGGAATTTCTGTGTCAAGAATCTGAACACGGTATGAAAATTCCATTTAATCACGTGACCCTTGGTTATGAACATTCAAGTCTCAACAAATACTGCAATTCTCAACATATTACCTCAAGAATAAAAAACTTGGCTGTTTTCACTTTTGACCAGGTCTTCTTTAGCCTGGATACTGGACTCATGTTCATCCCAGCTGGAGGGAAAGAAGATGACCAATAGAGGAGAACTTTAATAAACAGAATAATTGTTGAATATCCTTAAAGTCATACAGAAATGACATTGGCACACTTACAGATGATTGCCATCAGTGAATTAAAGTTCCCTATGTTAAAGCACTCCCGAGCGACATCAATGAAGAATTCAATGACTTGTGCCCTCTGTTTCTTTTTGGCAGGCTGTAAATAAGCAAGCATATGAAAATGTAAAAAATGATTGAAATGTCATCACGCCACAGATAGAAAATGTTCTATTTTTACTGCTCAATCCAACAGTTTAGCATATTGGATAATCTCATCCAGTCATTTTCATTATTGGCACTCACTCCTGGCAGCTATAGGAATCAAAATTCTCATTAGACAGTGACAAAAGCCTAGTATACCTTTAAAAAAAAATCTTCACCACTGATCTGACAAATGTGCATGCAGAAGACAATTAATTCCAGAAATATTCTGTCTAGCAAATTACTAGTGCAATGACAACTATTATAATTTTTAACAGGCTTGAATTAAATAGATAAGAGAGTAAAGGCATCCTCAATGTCTGCCTTAGTTCTGCAGACCACAAATAAGTTCATAAGTTCATGTACATGTTAGACGTTCTATTTCACCATTAATGAACAAGAGCTCCTGTTCAATGAGCGGATGGCAGCTGTAATCAGGAAAGGCTTTCCATATCTTCATCTGATATGTCAACTGTTCACTTTTCTAGACTAGGGACTTTTCAGATAGTTACTCGTGTCCTGTTCACCTCGTGGCTTGACTACTGCAATATGCTGCACAGACAGCTGCCTTGAAGACACACAGAAGTCTCAGCTGGTCCAGAATGTAGCAATGTGGATCGTAATCAGCATGTTTTGGTATGCCCATGTAACACTTATGCATTGGTTGCTAGCCTGCTTCAAGGTGCCATTCAAGGTGCTGGTTGTTACCTTATAAAGCCTCACATGGCATAGGCCTCACCTACTTAAGGACTGTCTCTCTCCCAATTTGATTGCCAATTAAACAATGTCTTCTATTGGGCTCCTGGAAGTGTACCTTCTACAGAGAGCAAAAAGGATGACCTCGATGAAGGGAAGGAAGATTTAATATCAAGGCAATCAGCAGATAAAGATTGCAGAAACCCAGATTAGTGGGAAAGGGGCTGAAAACATCTCAGACATCCCCCCAACTTCACTAAAAGATAATAGAGAAAAATTCTGCTGTGTAGAATGAGCTTCTCCCTGAATTCACCCCGCTGATGTTTTGAAGGGCCTTGAAAATCTGGTTTTTCACCCAGGCCTTTGGCAAATGTGAGTGTGAACCCTTGTTTGGACTTTGTGAGTTTCTTTTGTTCCTGTCCATTTTTCTCTCATCCTTCCCATTTTCACTCTTCATTGTTGTATATCACTGCATTTTTTTCTTGTTTTTTAATGTTTTTTATTTGTAACCACCCATGGTCCCTGAGAGTTGGGCAGCATCTAAATCTAAATAATATTAACAGTAATAATAATAATATATGAGGAATTATATAGGTTGGATTTATATTTTAAATAAATTTAACCTTAAAATCAAATTTAATTTTTGACCTAGATCTGTTCCTTTCTTTGCCTTGGGCTAACCTTCTTTGTGGAGTGTGAGCTCCAGGAATGTCACTCAATGGCTAAATTTGATCCCTGGCCTCTTAATCATTCCGTCTCTCCCTCCATTATACCAAAATGATTGCTTTGCTACTGCATTGATAGCCTGCTCTTCGCTTGAGATTTACTGCAAAATTTCTGTGAAATGCATGCAAACTTAAAGCTTTTATTCATTTAAAAAAAGATAAACTCGCTCGAGCAATTATTTTTAATGAGAGAAGAAGAAAAACAATATTCCATAGAATGTATTATCAAATGCTTTCAAAATGTCATAATCATGCCATCAGTATAACAGAATCTGACTTACCATGCAAATTTCTGTTGCTACAAGATAGCAGAGTCTATTGAACCATTTCACATAAGCCTCAAGATTACTAGTCTTCTTCTGTTCACTGAAACAAGGCTGGAAAAATAAATAATAATAAAAAAGTCAAAATATGACATACATGTTTGAGATTTTTTTTTGAATTTTGGTTGTTTTAAATTACCGAAGTTATCTAAAAGTGTTGCTCAAGTGACAACAGAGTGTATATTTTTGAACATGTGCACATGTGTACACATGGCTGCCTGACAGACCAGGCACGTGGAACTCTGTTTTAAATATAAAAAGATGGGAAGTGTCAGATGTCTTTGATTTCACAGCCTACAAGCCCTTTCTGCAAATCAAATCAATGCATGATGAACAATTCTGTTTTGCCAACAGCAACTGTTCAGAACACATTCCCCCCCCCCCATCTACACTCACTGAGATATTAACAGGCAGGATACCACTATGTGCAAAGAGCAACAAGAATCTGGGAAATGAAATCAGAGGAATGTCCTTTTTTTGTGTAACAGCCACATTTCATCTATGCCTTTAATAGAGGAGCTCTCCAACGCTGACAAATGCAATGGCTCAGGCTGTTGTCGGGCTTGTCTAACATGAAACAATATTTCTGAGAATGAGAGGGGAAGACAAGGCAGCAAATGCCCTGGTTCTTGATTGGATGTTATTTGCTTTAAAGAACTGTTTCTTTCAGAAGATAATACCTTTGCTACTGATCTCTTTATCTTGCCCTACACCTCTATATCATCAGTTGCCCTGAAACAAATGGCAAAATTCATCAGCAAATGTTATTTTTGTGACCTAAACTTTTTAGACAGAGATTCCTAGGCAACTGCTCAGGACTGGGACCTCCCAGCTCTCTTTCAAATGAATTTCAATCTAGGGACTTAAGGTGCAATTCAATAATATCTACTCTGTAGATGTTCCCACTGAGTCCAATGGGACTTATTCCCAAGATGGTATGCACACTCTGCAGCATAAACTATTGCAAAAGATTCCAGCTGCAGAGAGTATTTTAAAGGCATTTATGAATCTATATTTTGAAATATCTGTATAACTTAGCAACCACTACAGGGTATCAGGAAATATTAGAACAAATATCTCTTATTAATGCTATAATTTCTAACTCAGGCCCTAAGGATACAATAAATCAATGAGGAGGAAGTTCTTATGCAGAGAAAAGGGGATTCCCATAAGTGGAATAAATATAGAAAAAGATGCCATTGGGATTTTGGGTTTTCACAATATTTGCAAATTTCTCCATTGCAGAAAACACATCCTAAGGCTAAAGTTGATTAATGAGAGATGGTGGAATTTTATGTAAAGCAGGAAGTACTTTTAAAATGCAAGCAGCCTGGAGCAAATTCACTGTGATGGAATATAGCTAGAAAAAGAAATAACACTGCTGTTGTGGTTCATGGCAGGAGGTTGTTTAAGAAGTGACTTAAGCAGCCTTTTACATATACAGCAATCTTGCTTAGAATGGTACTGTTTGGTTAACAAATCATTTTGAGTTCTCTTTCCTAATATAGGTAGTTCCTGACTTAAAGTCATTCATTTAGTGACTGTTCAAAGTTACAAAGGCAGTAAAAAAAGCAATTTATGGCCATATTTCACACTTACAACCACTGCAGCATCCTCATGGTCATGTGATCAAAATTCAGATGCTTGGGAACTGATTCACATGACAGTCGCAAGATCCCAGGATCATGTGATCCCTTTTTTCAACCCTCTGACAATGAGGAAGCCTGATTCACTTAACAACTGTGTTACTAACTTAACAACTGCAATGAGTCACTTAGCAACTGAGGCAAGAAAGCTTGTAAAATGGGGCAAAGCTCACTTAGCAACTGTCTTGCTTAGCCACAGAAATTTTGAGCTCAATTGTAGTCATACGTTGAGGGTTACCAGTACTTTTTGGTTCTCTTTCTAGAATGTTTTTTAGTCGTTCATATCTGATATGCTATCTCTAATTATTTCCTTACTTTCTTCCCTTTGCAGCAACCTTTCCTTTTCAATCCAGATACATTCAGTGCTGAATTACAATAACATTTATCTCTCAAAAAAGCTAGAATAAGATTGAAAAAGATTGGGGTTTTGATCTACACATGAGATCTAAAGTAGAATATATCTAAATGGATAGAATATGTATTCTGAACACAAGATATTGTAACGATTTGAGATAAAGAAAAATTTGGTCATATAAAACGTAGAAATATAAATTTTGAAATAAGAATACTATACTGTTTTATTAGTTTGTTAAGATAGATGGTAGACTTTATATATAAGGGGTGTATTTAAAATATTAGATTGTATGAGGAATTGTGATAAAGGAATTGTGTTTAATTAAAAATTTGGAAAAAATAAATATTAAACGTTATATTAAAATATTAAAGGAAAATTAACCATCAGGTCACTGATTGGCTAAAAGTTTGAATGTTTACAAATAACTAAGATTTGAATTTAAGATATTGTTATGAGTTGAGACAAAGGTTAAGTAAAACTTAGAAGTATAAATGCTAATAATTAAATTTGTTTGTGGTACAAATGCTGGTGGTTTATTTTTTTTTCTCTTTTTTTTTCTTTTTCTGGAAAGGAAGAAAGGAAGGGAGTAGAAGGAAGAAAAGAAAAAAATTATTAGCCCTGAATATGAGATATAAGACCTAAAAATTGGGATCATTTAAAATCTGGAAATGATAAAGATTAAACGTTAAATTTAAATATCAATGGGAAATTAAAGTTAAGAAAAACTTATTAGGTTATTGTCTAAAAGATGGAATGTCAAATTAATTAAGATATATATAGACTGAAGATTATTGATGAATACTAGAAAGGTATTTTTTGTTTGATTGATAGAATAAGAAATGTATTGGTTTGAATATGACAGTAGATATTATGGGGGAAAGAGAGGGAATTAGTTGTTGTAATACTTTGAGATTTGTACTGATGATATTCAAATGTAATGGAATTACTGTGCTCAGCCGCCACGCTACTTTTCAAATATGTAAATGTAATATTGGAAAATTAATAAAAAACTTGGAGAAAAAAAAAACATTTATCTCTCTTTTTCCTGATTCTTAAGACTTATTTATTTATTTATTTATTTATTTATTTATGAGACTTATATACCGCTTTTAAGTGCAAGCACTCTCTAAGCGGTGTACACCAGTAAGCAATGTATATATATATTTACATTGCCCCCAACAATCTGGGTCCTCATTTTACCTACCCCGGAAGGATGGAAGGCTGAGTCAACCTTGAGCCGGTGAGATTTGAACCGCTGACCTGCTGAACACAGTCAGCTGACTAATCTAACTGAATTTCATTCCAGACATTTTTTTTTAATTTCCACCAACCTCTTCTTTCTCATCTATTTTAATTTCATTTAACAGTCAAGTCCACTTTGTTTTCTATAGATTGCACAGGCATCCAACTAAACATATTGTCTTGGATACTGTTATACAAGGGCCAAATTTTGCAAATGCTAAATACGTAAATGGATGTGTGGCAATTCAAGCAAGGAAGACCGTACCGGTGTGACTTGTTCTTTGCACCAACAGATCAGATTTAGTAACATGCTGCTCACAAGATTCAAAGAAACAAGCTTCCCTTCCTCCCATGAAAGAACCAAAATTGTGTGAAATTGCATGATAGTCCTGGAAAAGTTAATTGATCCTTGACAAGCCAACTACATGCTAACATTATTTTTAACAATAGCCGCCGCCACCAGGTTTATTTATTTAGCAGGTTTATTCTATAAACAACAGAAAGATAAGGAAATTATAGCGAAAGTGAGGTTCAGGAAAAGCAATCCCCCCCGCACACCTGTTGTTTGTTACATGCTCAGTTCCGCTGCCATGACCCTATACTTCTGATACTTTTCAGTTATAATTAGAGATGAAAGAAAGGCATTTGAAAAGACACTATAGTTAGGCTGATGCAAGTGTAGCAATCTCTGATCCAAATGGAAGCTATGTGCTGAAACATTACAAATGCTTTATGTCCAGTCCACTGGCCTAAATATATTATCTTTTTTATTAGCATTTTACAAAAAAAAAATGACATGAATCTTGGTTTATAAACAATTTTTGTAAAATTTTAATTAAGCCAATAATCTTGGAACAGCCTGTGCATGCTCTCGCCCTCTCTGTGTCCATTCACATAAATACACATCCTTAGGTAGCAGTCCATAACCACTTCCAATGGATTCCAAGATACTATAATGTACGGAACAACCAAGGGTCTCTTAATAGGCTAATCTAGTGTATCTCACCCTCGACAATTTGAAGATGGGTGGACTTCAACTCCCAGAATTTCCCAGCCAGCATGCTGGCTTGAGGAATTCTGGGAGTTGAAGTCTACCCATCTTCAAGTGGTCAAGATTGAGAAACACTGGGTTAATCATAGCAGTATTACGATCCACTTCTCAAAGTTTCTGATTTAATATTATATCATATGCAAAAAGCTGGCCTATGTAGCTGAACCAGTCTAGTATTCCAGCTGCATTTGGAACCTGAGGTTTTCCTGGATGATGTGGTAGCTGGCAGACTATTGTGATAAAAGATAAAAGGACGAAAAACCAAAAGCTAGTACAAAGAATAGCAATCATCATGATTTTCTGAGATTGGTCTTGCAGCTGAGCTATTTCAAATTGATGATTAAAGAAGACAGATTCCTAACCTGATTACAACTGACTTGTCACTGAAGCCTTTAGGCACGCCATCTTATAATGTAGCCTATCAACCTTTCTATTTCTCACTTATTCCAGACCAGAAAAGGCTTATGATATTTGCAGGAAAGGCAAAGTCAATGCACGAAGAAGTCAGCTTGTTACCAAAACAATCGATTTTAGACCAGAAGATGGCTTTTATGCTTCCTGACCATCTCGTTGTTTTCTCAATTCTCTTGCTGTTTTGACCTGAATAACAAGCATTCCTAACTGGTCTCCAGCTTTTTGTCTCCTGGGTTTTGATAGGTGGCCAGACTGGCACAATCTGCCCTAGCTGTCATTTTTTATGGCCTCTTCTGCTGCCAAGAGCTCCTGCCTTTATCTGTAAAGGAGGTGGAGAGTTCAGCTGACACACTACTTCCTCCCGGTAGCTTAATATCTCTTCACATCTCTGCCTGATTGACAGAACGTGGCCTTTCAGAAAGTCAGGGAAAGGTGGGTAGGTACCCTTGAAGAACATAGAAAGGAAGCCAAGAAAAGCTGCAGATATGTTCCATTTGTAGCATGATATTTCTACATTTTAACAGAGTAACAGAATTGGAAGGGACCTTGGAGGTCTTCTAATCCAACCCCCTGCTCAAGCAGGAGACCCTATAGCATTTCAGACAACTGGCTGTCCAGTCTCTTCTCAAAAGCCTGCAGTGATGGAGCACCCACAACCTCTGAAGGCAAGCCTTTCCACTGGTTAATTGTCCTCACTGTTAGGAAATTTTACTGTTAAAAAAAGTTATTTTTAAAACTTGTTAAACTTAGAAAATATTTTTCAAACTGAAAATGTTTTTTTTTTTAATGACAATCTATGCCTTGATCAAAGAGCTGAATCCTGGGCTACAGAAATTCTAGATAGTAACAAATATCAGTACTGAATTCTTGTATTTGCAGGTTAGGAGAGGAAGTGGTAGATGCAGTAGATTTCTTATGTACTGCAGTCCACCAGTCCTGCATTCTGTCACCGTTCCTTTCTTGTTGGGAAAAGCACAAGTTTGAGAAGAAGAGAGTTACAGGACTACAGTCTGCCAGCCCTAACCATCTGCAGAGACAGATCTCAAGTTTATTTGAAGCCAGCAAATAAGTACATAAATAAATTTGCAGTTTTCTCACGGTGATCACAAAATAAATAATGCAGTGAAGTATTCCAATTCTGTTTCAGCTTTATATTGGACTATTGCATACCCGGCTTCTGCTGTAAACTTCCATTGAAAATAGGCTGTAGACCAGCGGTTCTCAACCTATGGGTCGCGACCCCATTTGGGGTCGATCGACCATTTTTCGGGGGTCGCCAAAGGCAGCGATCCGCCATTTTCTCCCCTCCGGGGGCGGCGCCACGCCTCCGGGGGCGCCGCCGCGCATGCGTGCTGCGCATGGGGCGCCACCGCGCATGCACACTGCACATGGGGCTGCTGCGCATGCGCATCACGCATGGGGGCCCGCCCCCGCCCCCATCCGCGCCGCGCATGCGCATAACGTTTGTGTGATGGGGGTCGCCATCACACAAACGTTGAGAACCGCTGCTGTAGACACTGGAAGGCTTCTGCTTATTTTCAACCATTCATTTATTGGCACAGTTTTCTTTAGAAGAAATTTAAAAAGTAAAAGCTTCTTTCAACAAGACGCAGTTTGTTCTTTATAATTAATTTGATTTACTAGATGATTCTAAATTATAAATTGATCCGCTCACTGGTTCATTGGTCTTTTGCAATGGTTGACGGGTCCATTTTTACACAGCCATTTTGAGTTCTCTATACCTGGAGGTCCTTGAGGGCAGATAATCTATCAATTAATCAAGATACAGAAGATGCAAACATCCCAGACAACCTTAGCAAAGACTAAGGAATTATCGAGTAGACCAGTTCCCTGGAACCTCTTCAGATAATGGAAGGATTGGGATTCAACCACATATGCTTTAGATGGTTGCTTCCGAGGAAGACACTGCAGGACAACAGTTTTCTAAAGGTTTGAGCACCAAGAGACAAGGGGATCAGTTATCTTGCCTGAAACCACAGCAGAGACTTTTAAAGAACACTCAGTTCACAAATCTCATTTTCTAATTTCTTTTGGAAATTGCTGATTAGCTACCTTTAAGCTATTAGAGACTCTTGGAACAACAGGGTAAACAAGTGTTCATTGGGTGAATTTATCTTCTTCTCCAAACAAAAGAAAAAATAATTACAAACTGAAAAACAAATAATTTGAAATAAACAAGAACAAAACTAAGTCACATTCTGATCTAAGAAGTTATAACAAGTTGATGGGTTAAGTTAAATTTTGAATATTGACTTTTACTATAAGATTTTGGAATTATAAAAATAAACAACGTCTTGTGGGAAAGAGATTTATTTTGGTTATCTGGCAATTGCAAATCATACCAAAAGATAAGAGCTCATTTTAGAAACTGGACACTAGAGGGGGCTAAAGATTTTAGGCAGAAGAAAAAAATGACAAACCCTAATGTCCGGTAATACTGGGATTTGCAGAATGATACAAAACATTATAATATCAGAAATATTAAAGGATATATTTTAAGAATTGAGGTTAGTAACTACAGTTACAATTCTGTCAGTAATAATGCCTGATTCTATGGTAGACTATGCCTGAAGATGTTAATGAAGGAATGATAGATATGGGACAAACTTTATCTGATAAGATAAAGTACATAATATGGAACTACAAATGACAGATCAAGAAAATGATTTTAAAAAGAATACATTACTGGATATATGAAAGAAACTGGCTTAAGTTTTAAAAATTAAAAGAGAAATGCAAGTGATAAATAAACAGAATGACCTAGAAAATGTTTTGTTATTGAATCTATAAAAGTGCTTGTTAAAGCACTGAAGAAATTTCCATAAGGGGATGAAGAAGAACTGAAGAACAACCAAAATCTAAGACAACAACAGTGTTACAAATAAAAGAAAGGAATATAAGGTTGGCTTATTTGATCAAGGGAGGAAAGTTATGGCAAATCTAGACAGCATACTAAAAAGCAGAGACACACCCTGCCAACAAAAGTATGTATAGTCAAGGCCATGGTTTTCCCAGTTGCAATGTATGGCTGTGAAAGTTGGATCATAAGAAAGGCTGAGCGCAAAAGAATTGAGGCCTTTGAACTATGGTGCTGGAGAAGACTCCTGCAAGTCCCCTGGTCTGCAAGGCGATCAAACCGGTCAGTCCTAGAGAAGATCAACCCTGACTGCTCTTTAGAAGGCCAGATCCTGAAGTTGAAACTCAAGTACTTTAGCCACCTAATGAGAAGAAAGGACTCACTGGAGAAGAGCCTGATGCTGGGAAAGATGGAGGGCAATAGAAGAATGAGATGACAGAGAATGAGGTGGCTAGATGGAGTCACTGTAGCAGTAGGTGTGAGCTTAAATGGACTCCAAAAGATGGTAGAGGACAGGAAGGCCTGGAGGAACGTTGTTCATGGGGTTGCGATGGGTCGGACACAACTTCGCAACTAACAACAACAACAAAAATAAGACATTTTGTTACAATGTTCTGGCAACCCTCTATGGACTTTTTGCTGACACCAGGATTGAAAAGTTGATGTTTTATGGATCTGCTTATAAGTAAGGGATGGAACATGGGATGAAGAGATACATGTTTAACCTTACAGTTGGTCAAGAGTTGTTAAATTTATTTCTATTGTGTGATGAAGTCTTTATATATTTCTTTTTTTTTTGTTACATTCTCTTTAATTTTTTTCCTTTCTTGCTTTTCTTATTCTTTATTTCCATTCTCTCTTCTTGCTCTAATCTTACGTTAATTTTTACTATTGTAATTAAAATACTTAATAAAAATATATTTGATTATGTGCCATCAAGTAGTTTCCAAGTTCTAGCAATCACAAAGATTGATTTTACTCCATCTATCTCTAACCTGCTATGCATGCATGCAAGTATTATTTCTTTTTTCTTTCTGGATCATGGGTTACATATATTAGACTCTGAATGGTGGTCTAGACAGTGGGCATTCAGTTAGGCCATTTTCTCTTCTGTATATGAATGTCTATTTTCCTTGTTGTTGTAAAATAAACATTCCATCTTCTTCAACATCAATATGTTTGGAATTGTTTCTTTGCAAATCTCTTATTTGAGCTAATTGCTCCTCATTGCTTGTGATTTGGAGAATTCCTCTACCTTTAGAAATATTTATTCTTGAACTAAATGAAACAACAATGCTATGTGTGCATCATCAATCTATAAAACAATACCTTGTCTAGGAATCCAGATTTACACATGCATGAGTTTACATGTGTGTGAACAGTGCAATATTTTGTTAGAAGATTCATTTCCTTTTGTCTGTAGTCATGCCCTAACTTACATGCCACCATGGGGAAATCACAAATTCATGCAGTTGTAGATACCATAAACGTTCATCTAAAAGGAATGAGTAGACAAAAAGGAAAATATGGGCAGACATACCTTTGTGCTATCCAAGGGATCTTTATGGCCAAATGCTTGAACAAATTCTTCAGGACCAATATGACCCAGTCTTTCCTTTTGCAGTAGATAAAATGAGAGAGTAAAAGAGCACCCCTGAGAATCAAGTGTATTGATTATTCACAATCCCTAAAGTAGCACCATCTAGATTTGACAGCAGATTTCAAAAGTGATTTATCACCATTTGCTGACTGGCCTCTTCTGGTTTAATCACCATAAGTAATACTTATGGACAAGCTTGGTTCAAAGTACGAGCTAACTGTGTGGCAGCCAAGATCCTCAGTCCAAGTATCTGGGCCCATCTGATTGTATACTGTCCTTTTCTAAACCACACTTCTTTATAATACACTTTCAGTATCACTATAGAAATGTTATGTATGTGAATTCAGCATAGGAAATTTCTCAGAATCAGCATGAATATATACTAGGATGTTTATCAATTATGACATAAAGAACCATAAAACATGTTATATATTAGTATAATAGTTAAGGTTAGAAACTGGGATACCAAAGTTCTAGTTCTGTCTGAGGCATAAAGCCTGCTGGGTAATCTTCGGCCAATTACTCTCAGCTCTACAAAACAGGCAATGGCAAACCACTTGTGAAAAACCTGCAGAGACTAGCCCAGGCAACTGGCTGGAGTCAAAAACTGATTCAAAGGCACAAAAACAAATAAACATAAAAGCAGGGAAGGTTAAGGGCTTAACTAGATTGGATTTTTTAAAGTTTAAGATAGTTTGATACTTTTGAGCTTAAGGTATTTCATATGTACAATGGATATAAAAAGTCTATACAGGATTTTTAAAAAAGATTTTAAAAAAAATCAGACCAAGATAAATCCCCTCAGAATTTTTTCCACCTTTAATATAACACATAAGCTGTACAATTCAACTGAAAAACAAACTGAAATCTTTTAGAGGGAAAATAAGATACACTAATTAATTTAACAAAAAGCTATTGGATCTATTGACAACAAATGTTCAGGGCCATGTCTGTCCTTCAAAATTTATATAACATCACCACAATGTAATCTTTTGTCTAGTTTTTTCAAGAAGAAAGTTAGAAAGGACAAGTGTACAGAAACATGAATTGGTAAAATTACACTGGTATTTCTAACAGCAACAAGGAACAAATTAATTAAAAATGGAAATGCTTCAGGCAGGGCTTTTTTTGTCATAGAACGGGTTCTGGCATCTTTTTTCAACACATTTTCCAGAGTTGCATACTTTTCCTATTGTTTCCCTTCCTATCTTCGTTTTGAAAATGCCCCGCTAGCGGTACAGTACGAACGGGGTCCCCTCCGGCGCTGTCTGCTTCCTCTAGGACAGACATGTCAAACTCGCGACATCACATGACGTCGTGTAACGTATCAGAGCTTTTTCGCTATTGCCAGCAATGGGGTAGGCATGGTTTTCCAATGATGTATCTGGCCCACGGGCTGGCATTTTGACACCCCTGCTCTAGGAGGAGCCATGAGGCGCCGGAGCACCACAGCCAGAGTGTGGCTTGATTGGCTGGGTCAGACCATGTGGTGTGGAAATTAAAAAGAGGCGAAGTAAGAGGAAAGAAAGGCGGCTGGCGTGGAAGCTTGCCTGAGAGTGAAACTTTGCTGTTGCAGTTCCTTGAGTAGTTCAAAGGCTGGGATATCTACGAAAATCTCTTTTTAGTCTTTTATACTTTATATTCAAACTGCAGAGGGGAAGAATAAGAATAAAGCCAATGTCTTGTGATTTGGAGGTATTATTATTAATAATAATATAAGGTTTAATCAGATCTATTTATTAAATTGGGTTTAACTTAAAGGTAAGTTAAAAGTAATCTGTTCACTGACAAAGTTTCAACTTTAATTTGTTTCAAGTCAATATCCATATTAAACTCCAAATGTAAATTTTTCCACCTTGTTTGACAACTTCTTAAAAATAATTCAATCAATTACAAGCAACCAAATTTTGTTTTATTGGGCCAATTTCATTCCAGATAGAAAACTGATATTTCCACTCATTAAATGGGTATGCCAGTGGTAAATGTCCCAAAAGATTAATAAAATGCCTTCTTGTAATTTAAAGCCATACAGTGCATGGTAACGTTAATAGTATTAACTTACCTTGAACAAAATCCTAGTCTTTAGATACACTAAAAATTGAAGGGTTTTTTTTTCAACTACAAAGGTAAACCTTGTAGGGTAGGCAAGGCAGGTTGTATGACATGTGTGAGTACTGGCACTTTTTTTTTTTTTTTTTTAAAAAAAAAGCACTGACTTCAGGTCCAAATAAAGAAAGATAATAGAGGAGATGCAAGCTCAGAAATTTAATCTATTTTATTTTATTTTTTGAAAAAGCAAATAAATTAAAACTATCTCCTCACAACCTTTTCCTATTAAAATTGTACTTTTCCCCACTGGGAACTTATTACTTTTAATCAGCAACTATGGGTTGTTTATGAGGACATCTTCAACAAGAACCTATCTTTATGTACTTTTCTGCAGACACTTAAAGGCATAATAGAAACAATTAATATCTGTATTATTTTGTCTAATTTGACTGCTAGTTCTTGAATTATGTTTTTATAAGGTGAAAAAATCTACATGGCAGCAAATTGTTGAAATTTTCTGTATCTCTTTGCTGTTATCTATTGGTTTCTGGATTTTTGCAACTTGTTTTGGGTAGCCTAGTTTTGCACACATATAACAACAGTGATATAAACTACTATGATACATGATTTAATTTTTCACGCTCCAAACTGCATCAGTTGGTATCCGACATAACCTGACCATCAGCCCATCAGATGATCTAGTCTAAAGCATCTTGACTCCTTTATTGGAAATGAACTGGAAGGAAGACTGATGGCAATTGCTCCTTCCTGACTTCTATCCTCTTAGTTTTTTGCTGGTAGGATTTAGTGAATATTGGCAATGCAGATAGACCTGCTCTGATATTGCAATATTTGAATTCTAAAGATGTGGATCCCCCTTCAATAAATGAACCCTCCAGGACTGCAATCAAACATGAATGACAATGCAATTGACTCAAATGTTCCTAGTGGATTATAAATTTAAGAAGTCTCAGTAAGAAGTTTTCAGAATTTTTTCTTTTCTTCTATAACCAGACAATGAAATCAAGTATTTACTATCCACTTACCAGTTCTACATGAGTTAGCTGTTGGGCTAAAGTATATGGATCACTGCAGACACTCAACATTTCTCTTTGGATGGATGGAGGTTTACTTTTAAAAGCTACCACTTTATCTGAGACAGCTGCACTGATCTTGACTATCCCTTCTTGGCCATGGTTAAGACTTGCAAGCTTCTGATTCAAGGTTTGTAGAAGCTGATTCATCTTTTTCCAATAGGCCTGAGGTGAAGAAAAGGAAGAAAGGGACAATTACACACTCCAAGTAAAACATTTTTAAATGTTGGGGAATCTTCTGAATCAGGTTTCTACTTAAGAGTGGAATGATCAGATATAGATTAGAATAATTTTATTTCCAACCTTCTATTCTAGAATATCCAGTCAACTTAATTATAGTTCCGCCCTAAGTTCCATCCTATAGTTGTACACCACAAGACTAGCATCTAGCCAGAATATTTATGCATTTGTGCTAAATGCCAACTGAGCTAGCTGACCACATGGGTCAACATAGTTTCCCCCCCCCATATCCTCTGTTTACCAATCTCATGTGCCCTTCTCATTTTTAAAATCTCTGAAACATAGATAATTGCTTGTATGAAACACATGTACAATATCTTATGCAAGAAGTGCCAATCAAATACTACCATTAAGATTGTTATGGCTGATTTATATGCTTCACAGAGAGTTCTTAGTATTCCAATTACAAATACTTACATCTGTCAAACAGTGCCATTTTGAATCATTTTACCCGATATATTGCACTGTATTAACATGACCAAAACATCTACGACACCTCTCTTAAATTACTTGTCCATCACTCATGGCACCATGTATTAAAGCTGCTCTTGGTTATCAGGAAATTATTTTGAAAACAAAGATGAAACAGATCACAGGTGGTATGGGTTACATATTATTCAGTGAGATGTTCAAGTTAATCTAATACAGCAGTTGCTCCCAGTGAAGCAAAAACAACAACAAAAAAACCCCAAATTAATTGAGGTTAATTCTATCAATATTGGTTCTTAAGATGTGCTGAAGATCAGAATACAAAATTGAGCAGCAGTTCTGTTTTGAGTAGGCTGTTGATTACAGATGTAAGAATGCCCAATATTTTGAAAAAGATTGGATGGGGATAATAGCTCTCCAGACTAAACAAATGAAATATTTGTGGTTTGGAAATCAACCTCATATTGAAAGATACACAGACACATTTCTTCAGTAATTTCATATGCATTCCATCTCTTTAGTGGGACATCTTTGATCTGTCCTTTAATTGATTTTAATCTATAGATCTGCAATGCACTAGAAAATATCTGGAAGACATATAAGGATGCGAAAAATATTTGTTTACTTATTGAATTGTATGCTAGCCTTAAAGATATGGAGAACTACAAACCTGTTATGAAAATTGGCATCTGAGAAGATACATTATTGACTATAGCTATAGTTTTATTATATCTGCTTGTCTGCCTGTCTGCCAAGATAGTTTACTAATTGCCATAAAATAAAATAGGTAAACATTTACTGCCCCAAAGCTATTTAATTAGAATGAAGCTGATCAAAGCATTTACATTATGCTCCTCAATGGTAAAATTTAGCCAAGTTGATTGGAAAATCTGAACTGCAAGAAAAGGCAATCACATGAAGCTTCTAAATGGCCTATAAAGACAAGACTAAACAATGGATGGGACTCTTAAGGGAAAACTTATTTAATACTGGCCTATGTACATTTACAGTCTCCTGAATTCTCCATAAACCTCTGAAGGATGTTTAACAAGGTTTGACAATTAGAAGGGAAGGCACTCCCCGGCCTCCTGCTAACCTGGTCTGGCAGAGGACAAAAGGCCTACAGCAATCCGTCAGCTATGAGGAATTGGAGGCGGAAAAACCTGAGGTGGGTGGGAGAAACAATGAGGTAGACAGTGATGAGAAAACAGAAAAACTCAAACATCAGGAGATGCAGGAAACATGCCCACAGACAGGCATATGAGAAATGCTTATATACAAATGTTCAAAGCTTGGGGAACAAACAGGGTGAACTAGAAGCAATAGTACACGAGGGAGGGTATGACATAATTGGCATTACAGAAACTTGGTGGGACGAAACCCATGAATGGAATGGACTGATGGATATGGATTACAAATTGTTCAAAAGAAACAGGTCTACAAAAAGAGGAGGGGGAGTTGCACTATATGTAAGAGAACACTACATATCTACAGAAATGCACATGATCAAAGATAAAATCTCTCCAACATGTATATGGGTCAATATAAAAGAGAAAAAAGTGACATTCCCATAAGTGTATATTACAGCCTACCCAAGAAATAGATGAACTCTTTGCCAACCAGTTAACAAATATATGTAGCAAGTATAACACAATAGTAATGGGAGACTTCAACTATCCAGATATCAACTGGGAGACAAACTCTGCAGCGAGCGGGAGATCAAACAGATTCCTAACCAACCTAGCTGACAACTTTGTCACCCAAAAGGTGGAGGAGAGAACTAGATGTAAAGCTATACTGGACTTAATTCTTACTAATAGAGAAGAAGTGATAGAGGGAGTTGAAGTTGCCAGAACTTTGGGTGAAAGTGACCACGTCATACTGGAATTTAATAAAATGCAAACACTAGCAATAGAAAACAACCTACCAAAATAATTAGGTCTACAATTACTTTCCTCCTCCTCCATATTGGGAAGAATGACACAACTAAGAACCTGAGTAAAATAGTGAGAGATTACAAACAACTAGGCAATAAAGTTAAGAAGCTAGGAGCACAAGTAGTGTTCTCATCAGTACTCCCAATGAAAGGCCAACATCCATTGAAGAAAAAAAGAATTTCAGAAATAAACCATTGGCTAAAGGGTTGGTGTTGCCAAGAAAACAATCCAACCAGTGTCTTAAACTTCAAAAGAGCTGACTTTAACAAACTCAGAGAAAACCTAGAAAAGATCCCACGGATGAAAATCCTAAAGGGGAAAACAACCCAAGAAGCATGGGAAACTCTGAAAAATGCAATCGTAAAAGCCCAATCCAGCACAATACCACTGAAAAAGAAAAAAAATAAATTCAAGAAGAAAGCAAAATGGCTGCACAAAGATTGCTCTGACAAACTGAAAGACAAAAAGGACAAATACAAAAAATGGAAAGATGGGCACATAACTAAGGCCAATTATCAGCAGACAACCAGAACATGCAAAGATGAAGTCAGGAAAGCAAAGGCTCAGAATGAACAAAGACTTGCAACAGAAATCAAGGATAATAAAAAAAGTTTCTTCCCACATATTAACAAGAAAAAGGTCAAGGAAGCTGTAGGTCCACTAAAGAAGAAGATGGGAAGGAAATAACAGGAAACAGGGAGAAAGCAGAGCTGCTTAACTAATACTTTGTATCAGTTTTCACAGAAAAACAAACTATAGCACAACTTATCAAAAAAAGCCACTGCAAAAGACAAACTAGAAACAAAAACTAAAATAAGAAAAAAAATGGTAAGAGAACACCTATCCGACCTTGACAAATATAAATCACTGGGACCCGACAGATTACATCCCAGAGTTCTGAAGGAGCTGGCAGATGTTATCTCAGAACCATTGCACCACATCTTTCATGAATCCTGGAGCACCAGGAAGTACCCAAGGATTGGAAAAGGGCTGATATGGTTCCCATCTTCAAGAAAGGGAAAAAACGGATCCAGGAAACTACAGACCAATCAGTTTAACATCAATATCTGGGAAGATCCTTTAAAAGATAATCAAAAAACAGATCTGCGAACAACTAGAAGCAAACAAAGTTATAACTAGTAGCCAGCACGGGTTTGTTAAAAACAGATCATGCCAAACCAATCTTATTTCATTCTTTGATAAAGTGACTAAACTAGTAGACCAGCAAAATGCTGTGGACGTAGTATACTTAGATTTCATTAAGGCATTTGATAAAGTAGACCACAACCTACTCATTGGTAAGCTAGAAAAAGGTGGAATAGACAATATCACCACCAGATGGATCTGTAGCTGGCTGGCAAACCGTACTCAATGAGTAGTCCTCAACGGCACCACATCCACATGGAGAGAAGCAGTGGGGTACCACAAGGTTCCGTCTAAGGCCCAGTACTTTTCAATATCTTCATCAATGACTTAGATGAGGGAATTGAAGGGGAACTCACCAAACTGGTAGGAGCAGCCAACACCCCCGAAGACAAACTCAGGATCCAACAAGATCTTGACAAACATGAACAATGGGCCCTATCCAACAAAATGAGTTTCAATGTGGAAAAAAGCAAAGTTTTACATTTAGGCAGGAAAAATCAAAGGTACAAGTACAGACTGGGTGAGACCTGGCTTAAAAACAGTATCTGTGAGAGGGACCTTGGAGTCCTAGTGGACGATCACTTGACTATAGCCAGCAGTGTGCAGCAGCAGCCAAAAAAGCTAATACAATCCTGGGTTATATAAACAGAAACATAGAATCAAGATCATGCGAAATATTAGTACTGCTTTATAAAACCCTAGTAAGACCACACCTGGAATACTGCAGCCAATTCTGGTCACCATATCACAAAAAAGATGTTGAGAGTTTGGAAAAAAAATCAAGAGAAGAGCAACTAAGATGATCAAAGGCCTGGAGGCTAAAATATACGAAGAATGGCTACAGGAGTTAGGTTTGGTTAGTCTAAAGAAAAGAAGAAATAGGGGAGACATGATAGCAGTGTTCCAGTATTTGAGGGGCTGCCACAAAGAAGAGGGGGTCACATTATTCACCAAAGCACCAGAGGGAAGAACGAGAAACAATGGTTGGAAACTGATCAAATAGAGAAGCAACCTGGAATTAAGGAGAAACTTCCTGATAGTGAGGACAATTAACCAGTGGAACAGCTTGCCTCTAGAAATCATGGGTGCTCCATCACTGGAGGTTTTTAAGAAGAGGCTGGACAGTCACTTGTTTGAGATGGTACACATTCTCCTGCTTGAGTAGTGGGCTACACTAGAAAATCTCCAAGTCCCTTCCAGCTCTATTCTATTCTAAACATTGATAAGAAAATTCACTTCTGAAGCAACCACTCAGACATCTATGCTTTGAATCGTCTTCTTAAAATGGACATAAGCCTCTGTGGATCAACTGATATGGAAGCCATCAGCAATTTGACGAAACTAGTGAGGCGGGCAACAGACAGAGAAAACCTTTGTGGATTATGTCATGCAGCCACATATCACTAAGAGGAA